ATGGAAGATAAATTTTTAACGTGCATGGTTCCTGATACCGTGTTTAAAGTGCTAGTACGAGAAGGGAGATTTTTCGATGCTTATAATCTTGTGATGAAGAGTGGAAGTAATCTCTTGCCCGGTGACGTATTTGATTATTCGATTCTAATTTGCGGTCTTTGTAAAGGTGGACGAATGATCGAGGCACTGGATATCTGCGTTTACGCTCAAACAAATGGAATAAAGTTGAATATCGTCTCTTACAATATTGTGATAAAGGGACTGTGCCTTCAAAGTTGTCTTATCGAAGCATTTCGGCTCTTCGATTCGCTCGAAAGGATAGGCTTGATACCTACGGTAATCACATATGGGACGCTAATCGACTCTTTATGTCGAGAAGGATATCTGGAAGATGCAAGGCAGTTGTTTGATCAGATGACCTCGAAAGGTCTTAAACCAAATACCCACATTTGCAATTCAATGATTGATGGTTACATTAGGATTGGTCAAATTGAAGAAGCCAATAAGCTTTTACGTGACATGGAGACCGAAGTGTTTAGTCCCGATGAATTCTCGGTGAGCTCGGCAATTAAGGCTTATTGTCGAAACGGTGACATGGAGGGTGCTCTTTCATCCTTTTTCGAGTTCAAGAACAAAAACATTTCACCTGATTTTTTGGGCTTCTTGTATTTGATAAGAGGTCTTTGTGCCAAGGGAAGGATGGAAGAAGCAAGAGATATACTCCTCGAGATGATACAATCCCGAACGGCGATGGAGTTGATTAACAAGGTTGATACCGAGATTGAAACCGAGTCTATAGAAAGCACCCTCACCCTTTTATGTGAGGAAGGACGTGTCTTAGAAGCCTACGCCGTTCTTAATGAAGTTGGCTCCATGTTTTTCTCTGCTCAGAGGCGTTCTATTGATTACAGCCAACCTCATAAACTGCATATAAATGACAAGAAATTTGTCGATGTTGTTCGTTCGGGAACCTTTGATGTTAACACGATTGAAAACATGAAGTACGAGGATCGGGAAAAGAGGCCTCATTTTGAGGACTTCAACTTTTACTATCCTCTACTTTCTTCTCTTTGTTCGGAAGGAAATATACGAGAGGCTACTCAATTAGCGAAAGAGGTAATTTGCAATTTGGATAGAGGCTAATTGTAAAGACGAAAAAAGAAAGAACTCGGCTTATTCCGTGGAGTTTCGTTTCCGTTGGGGAAAGAAAAAGGATTTCTGTTCCTCTTGGGCAAAAGAGGATCTCTCGGACCTGGTCGGAGGCTGATTGCATCATAGAAGCAGTCTCAATTGTTTCGCTTCGAGGAGTTTCCCCTCCGTTATCGTGAAACGAGTAGCGTTTTCGCACAGGTACACATGATTTGTTATTGTGTTATATATGCAAGATGCATTGGCTGCGTTTTTCTGTCATCCTCTCTTATTGTTTAATTGAAATATGAACTGTTAGAGGTATATATATATATATTATACACGTAAATGCAAATCTATATATATTTTTTAACCCCGAAAAATATACTTCGAAGCTTTTCTATATGATCGTGTTAATTTTGCTATAAATGGTTAATCTTCTTTAGAATTATAGAATTCCGTATTGTCTATGTGAGATCCCACATTGGTTGGGGAGGAGAACGAAACACCCTTTATAAGGGTGTGAAAACCTCTCTCTAGCAGATGCGTTTTAAAACCCTTGAGGAGAAGCTTGAAAGGGAAAAGCCAAAAAGGACAATATTTGCTAGCGGTGAGCTTAGGCTGTTATAGATGGTATTAGAGTCAGACATCGGGCGATGTGCCAGCGAGGATGGTGAGGCTCGAAGGGGGGTGGACGCCGAGCGGTGTGCCAGTGAGGACGTTAGGCCTTGTAGGGGGGTAGATCGTGAGATCCCACATCGATTGGAGTGAGAACGAGTGCCAGTGAGGAAGTTGGGCCCTAAAGGGGATGGATTGTGAAATCCTACATCGATTGGGGAGGAGAATAGAACACCGTTTATACGGGTGTGAAAACTTCTTCCTAGCAGACACGTTTTAAAAACCTCGAGGGGAAAGCCCAAGGAGAACAATATCTGCAAGCGGTGGGCTTGAGTTATTACAAGTGGTATCAGAGCCAGACACTGGGCGGTATGACAGCGAGGACGATGAGCCTCAAAGGGGGGTGGATACCGAGCGGTGTGCCAACGAGGACGCTGGGCACCGAAAGGGGGGGGGAGGGGGGAATTGTGAGATCGTACATCAATTGAAGTAAGGAACGAGGGCCAAGGAGAACTGGGCCTTGAAGGGGGGTGGATTGTAAGATCTCACATCAGTTGGGGAGGAGAACGGAACACCCTTTATATAAAGGTGCGGAAACCTCTTCTTAGCAGACGCGTTTTAAAAACCTTGAAAGGAAGCCCAAAATATAAAGCCCTAAGAGGACAATATCTACTAGCGGTGGGCTTAGATTGGATTGTTACAGCCTATTAGTTGAAACACGAGGGTTGATAGGTTTCTTAGTTTTTGCTAAAAACTTACTACACTTGTTGCTTTTGTTCATTTATATCCGAAATGATAAGTAACAAACTAATATACTAACATTAGTTCGTTAATGAAATTCTTGCTAAATCATCCCGAATATTCAAAAGATGATGAAAGGGAGATACTGTTGTTTCGAACGTTGTCTGATTTATAATGCTTATGAGAAACAAAATTTCGGTTCCGAGATTAAAAACGAACTTGTATAGTAAGAGAAAAATTGTTGTAAAAGAACATATAATCAGACAATCTTCTTCTAATCGAAACATTATCTGGTTTATGTTCTCAAGCGACCGATGTTATTCGAAGGAACACATCGGTTTCGTCTCATGAGGCTCCACCGTCCAGTGCGCTCAGAACGTGTTCGATTCGAGTTTAGAATGAAGCAGGAAAAGGTAATTATATGAACGTACCCTTATACTCAAATGTGTGTACTCTATTTGCAGATTCCTTATCATCACTGAATTTGAAAATTTGATTGAAGGTTTTGTGAGCCCAAATCAGCAATAGATAGTATTTGGCCATTGCCTTGTGGTGGACACAATTGACACCATTTCTATGGTGAAGTACTGATGCATTTGATCTAGATGGGTGTCGTCCTCGTCCTCGTCCTCATCCTCGACCTCGTACGACCAAGAGGTCCTTATGGTGGCAAGGTTATAACCGAACCGACTCGCTCCGACTGACAACTGCGGTAATATAGTGATGCCGAGGTGCGATCGAGAAATTTAGAACACACCATTTGTTTCATCAAAAACTACTAAAATTGCATTCTTGTTCTCCCTTGCCTTTTGAGAAGCTATGGGATGAGAGTTTTTTTTTATGGCGAGTATATTTCATCAAGATTTTACTCGTATCTGCGTTTATCTGTGATGCTGTAGTGTTGATCGAGTGCTGTAACTTGTATTTATGATTCTTTCTTATGATATTCATATTTGATTAACTTTCCATGATAATAAGGCAACTTTAATCTTCAGTCCAACGATCAAGCTTTTGTTGCTTTTGTTGAAGCAAGAACCCTTGAATCGTAATTAATATCTTCTTATACAAAATTCTAATGCTAGAATTAGAATTAGATTACCTCTTACGATCGAAAATCTAGAAGCAATTCGGATCAACTAAGAGATAAGACTAGAATTAGATTATCTATTACGATCAAAACGATCCAAGTTTTTGTTGAAGCGCTTTTGTTGAAGTAAGAACCCTTGAATCAAAGTAATTAATATTGTACAAAATTCGAATGTTAGAATTAGAATTAGAAACCTATTACGATCAAAACGATCCAAGCTTTTGTTGAAGCAAGAACCCTTGATTAAGCAAGATCCCTTGCCTATTACGATCAAAACGATCCAAGCTTTTGTTGAAGCAAGAACCCTTGATTAAGCAAGATCCCTTGAATCAAAGTAATTAATATTGTACAAAATTCGAATGAGCAAGAACCCTTGATTAAGCAAGATCCCTTGAATCAAAGTAATTAATATTGTACAAAATTCGAATGTTAGAATTAGAATTAGAAACCTATTACGATCAAAACGATCCAAGCTTTTGTTGAAGCAAGAACCCTTGATTAAGCAAGATCCCTTGAATCAAAGTAATTAATATTGTACAAAATTCGAATGCTAGAATTAGAGGGTACAAAATTCGAATGCTAGAATTAGAGTTAGAATTAGATTACCTCTCACGATCGAAAATCTAGAAGCAATTCGGATCAACCAAGAGATAAACTAGAATTAGATCAACAAGACTAGAATTAGAATTAGATTACCTATTACTATCGAAAATTTAGAGCCAAATATTGTTCTAAATTGAGTCACTCTACCATCGAACTAGATTACCTATTACTATCGAAAATTTAGAAGCCAAATATTGTTCAAAATTGAGTCACTCTACCATCGAGCTTGATCAAAACTTGATTGATTGACTCAGATGCAATTATTCTAAATTGAGTCACTCTACTATCGAATTTGATCAAAACTTGATTGAATGGCTCGGATACAATTGTTCTCAATTGAGTCACTTTACCATCGAACTTGATCAAAACTTGATTGAATGGCTCGGATGCAATTCTTGTCTAAATCATTCTACCATCGAACTAGATCAAAACTTGATTGAATAGCTCGTATGCAATTCTATCACAAATGGAAAATTCGTTGTAGGTTCGAACCTTGCAATAAGTCTATTTGAAAACACCGTGATTCTTATATCCTATACAAAAAAAAAATATTATGTTTCTATAAACCGCTAGATTTAGATTTAGATTTAGAAAAGTTAGATAGTTATATTAATTTTAAAATTATCTTTCACATAAAACTTTTGAATTTTAAATATTGGATTCATTTTCCAAAATCCAACCAAATGCACTAAAATGATAAAATTAAAATGTTTAGAATATTAGAGGAAAAATTGAAAAATAGTATATATTTCAAGAACTAAACTATATATTTGTATTTTTTTTAAAGCTATTTTATTCATATTATTAGATAAATTGTAAAAAAAAAAAAAAAAAAGTCTGAAAGCCCTGAACTCTCTTTCTGGCCCTTTCGTGAACCTTCAGCCATCAGCCCAATTCCGGCGAGTTTTTAGGTGATAGCAGCTCGTAACTCCGGCAACAGACCCTTGCGCGATCTTTTTCTCCGACGAACAGCGTTTCGTCTTAGTGGCTGTTTCTGATCTCTTCCGAGGTAATTCTGTGATTAATTTGCTACGATTTCTGTTCTTCCGCATTACTTATCTCAGCAAAGGAAAATCCTTAGGTTTTTGTGATCGCAACACGATTTTTTTTTTAAGATACGAACATGATCACGACACAATTGAATAATTTGATGTTGATTTGGTTAATCGGAGGATTTGTTATTGGATTCTCTCAGTTGTTTGTATCAATTTTTTAATATGATTGATCATTTTCTGGGCCTAAATTGTTGTTCGGTTCTTGAGAATAGGTTTATCTGACGCTCTTCTCATGGTGGCCTTGAATCAGAGATTTAGATTTTGGCCTTGATTGAATTGTTTTGTTTTTGTTTTTGTTTTCATCCATTCTCCGAACTTATTTGCTTAAACAAAGGGCTTTAGAATTCAACCCTAGTGTTCGTCGATTCATCTTTTGTAGGAGTATAAACTATGGCTGGAGAAACAGGATTGTTTACAGTTCAACAGACTATTGGCAGTGTTTTATGTTGCAAATGTGGAATTCCCATGGCACCAAATGCTGCCAATATGTGCGTCAAGTGTTTGTGTTCCGAAGTTGACATCACAGAAGGTTTACAGAAGCAATTGACTATTATGCATTGTCCGGATTGCGAAAGTTACTTGCAGCCACCGCGAACTTGGATCAAAGCACAATTAGAATCAAAGAAACTATTGACATTCTGTATCAAAAGGTTAAAAAATCTGAATAAGGTTAAACTGCTACATGCTGAATTTGTTTGGACAGAACCCCATTCCAAGAGGATCAAGGTGAAGTTGAAAGTGCAGAAAGAAGTCCTTCATGGAGCACTTTTAGAACAGTCCTATGTTGTTGAGTATGTTGTACAGGATCACTTGTGCGAGTCTTGCTCAAGGGTCCAGGCCAATCCTGACCAGTGGGTGGCTTCTGTTCAACTCCGGCAGCACGTTCCTCACCGGCGTACCTTTTTCTTCTTGGAGCAACTGATATTAAAGCACAGTGCTGCTGCCAATGCCATAAGGATAAAACAGATGGATCAAGGCATTGACTTTTTCTTTTCTAATAGGAGTCATGGTGTCAAGTTTGTGGAATTTATTGGAAAGGTTGCTCCAATTAGGAGCCGCCAAGATAAACAACTTGTTTCTCATGATTCTAAGAGTAACGTTCACAACTATAAGCACACGTTCTCCGTTGAATTATCTCCAATATGTCGCGAGGATTTGATATGCTTGCCTCCTAAAGTTGCTGTTAGTTTGGGCAATATTGGCCCTCTTGTAATTTGCACTAAAGTTACAAACTCCGTGGCTTTGCTTGATCCATTAACCTTAAGGCACTGCTTCTTGGATGCGGAGCAGTATTGGAGGACATCCTTTAAGCCTCTACTCACTAGCAGGCAGCTTGTCGAATATATCGTTTTAGATATTGAGAATGTGTCTACTGAAGTCAATGTCAGTGGTTCGAAGTATATTTTGGCCGATGCTCAGATAGCTCGTGTATCAGACTTTGGAAGGAATGACACGATATTCAACATAAGAACCCATCTGGGTCATATTCTAAACCCTGGGGATTATGCCCTTGGTTATGATCTCTATAGAGCCAATAGTAATGATATGGAGCTAGAAAAATATAAGGGCCTTCAACTTCCAGAAGCTATTTTAATCAAGAAGAGTTATGAAGAAAAACGCCAGAGAAAGCGTGGGAAGCCTCGATCGTGGAAGCTAAAATCTCTTGAAATGGATGTTGATGATAAAGATCAAGGTAGAGCAGAGCAAGATAAGATGCACTTGGAGTACGAACAGTTTTTGAGAGATTTGGAGGAGAATCCAGATTTGAGGTTCAACATATCGTTGTACCGAAATCGAGAATACCAACCGTCTGAAATGACTGATGGGGAAGATGGACCTTCGGTACCACTTGAAGAGTTGCTTGCTGATCTTGATTTAAGTGAAGGGGATGGGGACAATGGCATGCACGAGTAAGTAGCTCTTGTCTTTCTTGATTATAGATGTCGAGTCGAGCATTTGAATTTCCAACTTCAAGGGAAGGAAGTAGGTGCCTTAGCTGATGAACTCGGCTCATTTCGACCCACAAGCAGTTTATCAAGGTGAGTTATTGCTCGTAATTTCATTTATATAGCATCTGATTTCTTCTGGTTTGCTTACAAGAAGATGTAAATTTATTAATTATCAACATCATCCAAGTCCTGATTGTTATTCCATGTTTCTTCTCCTTTTCTTTAGCCACAACGGGTTGTTTATCCTGGAACCCATTTTTCTCTTTATTCTTTATCGCTTTTAGCTTCACTTGTATACTTGATAAGTGGGTAGCTAGGATCCAAAATTTTACCAATAAAGTTAACTTAACGAATGATTCCAACTAAAGATTTCAACTAAGAGCTGGTTAGAAGGATGAATAATTCTTAGATCGAACTTGGAATCTTTGGTCCTTCGAATACATGTAATGGATTGGTGGGTGGTTGGTTGGTCCTTCGAATACATGTAATGGATCGGTGGGTGGTTGGTTGGTCCTTCGAATACATGCAATGGATGGTTGTTAATAGTTCAATCCAATTACCTAAAATAAGTAAGGCCATAATAGGTCAGTGTAGCCAGTGTAGCCATTGTTTTGTGATAATTAAATATTATTAACACTATTTAGGATTGATTTTAGGATAGTTAATGAGGTTGGCTCCATAGACAGGCTAAGTTCAGTTTTACAAATGGATGAATATTATAGGTGAAATTAGATTAAACGAAGCTAAACGGAAGAATGTTTGGTCAAAACAAGCTTAAGAGCATCAAGTTGAGCATGAACTGTACGTGGACTCACTGTTGGAACGTCTACGAGCCTGTTGGATGAAATTCTTGTGTCGTATATTTAACACATTTTGTGGTGGTTTATTACATGTTATATGGTAATGATATGATTATATATGTGTTTTTATTTGATGCATCGAACTTCCATGCATGTAAATCTTATGACCATGATGATATGACCATATGTATGACTCTTGAGGTATGTGAATTGAAATACGTAATAAAATATGTTAGAAATGCCCTGATTGTGTATGTTAGCCTCATGGAGAACTTATCTCATGATAACATAGAAGTATTGTATGCGTCATATTATGAGTCGCTGGACCTCATGCAGATTGTATATACATTGAACATAGATTACTTCTCCTCACACCTTTATATGGTCACATACCTATAAGAATGATTTTGGGTCCTATTTCTTTTCGTGGTTCGGCTTTGCAAGAGTGCATAAGTGTAAATGCAAGCCTATGTTTATGAAAACAGGGTATTCACCTTGTTGGTCCACATACATATGTGTGGGTCATGTATAGACAATGTATAGACAAATATTATGCATCTAAATCCACGATGAGAATGGAATTTGAACCAAAGGTTATAAACATGATTTTAGGTCTGATAAAGCACGAAACCATAATGAGTGTGTTTGGATTTATTGATCTCAGCATTGGGTCACTTGTGAGTTTTAAATACTAATCATATTATTATTAATCATTTTCCAGGATAAAGGCAATAGGATGATCATGTCTATTGAGAAGATCACGAAATAAAGCCATACACAATCTTTTCTGCCTTTCAATTATATTTTCATTGTTAGGATAACTTAGTAACGTTTTCAATGTTAAATTTCTTTCAGAGGATATTTGATCCTTATTTTGTTACCTATTCAACTTAAATCTTTGAAGTTTTTAAAGATCCAATCTACACACATGTAGTAAGTGTTATATTTTTGAAGACTTTTTTGAAGAGCATAAATTGCTCGAGAACCTAAACCAGAGAATAATGTTTGTATTATAAGAAATGTTTTAGCTTCTCACGCTACAAGATTGACAATTGATGCAACGTCAACAAAAATCTTGCAAAAAAGCATGGTTTAGTATTGAATTTGTGTTTTTTCGATGTTACAAACTTCAATATGTTTGAATTTAAAAGCAACGACAAGTGTATATTTTTTTTTGCTACATAGGATGTATCGATAAATATTACTCTTTTTTTTTTTTAATATTGTTTTAACTAGGTCGACATAAATTTGCATCACTGTAGATTTGGATATCTGAAAGTACAAAAACTAAAATGAAATGCGTTTCAAAGTATAGATACCATAATGATATTTTAACCTAGAAATTAATTATGTATTACAATTAGGAGTATCAGCTACAATCGGTGTATTCTTAGCTTCTAGGTTGACTCTAAGAACTTAGAGTTTTGAAAGATATCTCTAAACCATTTAAGTCTTAGCTTCTAGGTTGACTCTAAGAACTTAGAGTTTTGAAAGATATCTCTAAACCATTTAAGTCCTTACCATTAAAACAAATTTCTAAAATTAGTCGGTGGGTATTCCAAATGAATTATAATCTTGTGTAGGGATCTAAGCATGAAATGAAATAAAAATTAATAAAGAATAAGAATGACCTCGATGCATTGATAAGTATTTCTCAATTATGAAAAGTAGAGGCTACTGTGTGTAGAAACAGGTGAATACTTGTAAACCTGTCTTATGAGGGAACGAGGGACTACATGAGTAGACAACATAAAGAGACACTATGGTGGGTAGGACAAACCCGGCTTGAAAGGGGAAAATGGATTACATAAGTAGTTGACATCAAGAAAGAACTTCTTAGGATTTAAGAGAAACCGATGGTAATTTACTAAGTTAAGGAAGCGATGAGAGTCTACAAGTAGATTGCTTATATATAATTTTTATACCCACCTCTTTTCCTTTTTCTTTTCAAGTACTGGTCAAGGTGGAGAGGTGATCGGGAGATGCGCTATCATAGAGGAGTGTCGACTCGAGGCGTCAATTAGTTTGTATTTTTTGTGGGTCGTCATTTGTATTCACTTTATATTCAGTTCTCGTCCCCTCTTTATAAATAACTAGAGCAACACCTTTTTTTGTATTGTTTTTTTATTTGAATTTTAGTTTTTAACTGTGGTGTTGTATTATTTTTAGTCGGGCCTAATTTTATCGCTTTTTTTTTAATCTGACTTTCACTCAAGAGGATCGGGGTTGATTACGGGCAACGAAAATATTTAGTTGTTTTATTTATTCTATATATATATATATATTTTTTTTTTTTGAAATTTTCAATTATTCTCTCTCCTCACGTTTCTTTTTTTTCACACATAATTCATCGATTGTATTTAGCTGTTACCGTATTTGGTTTTCACCCACTAAAACTTGGGTTCGAGCGACCAAAATATTCACCAATTCTTCCATTTCTGTCCAACAGAAACTCGGGTTTGATTTCCGACAATGGAACTATTTAATTTTATTATCATTTTCTTTTTTGCAATTTTCATTTATTCTCTCTTCTCAAGTTTCTTATTTTTTTCACATATAACAACTTTTTCGTTGTTGTCCCGGTTAGAATATTTGGCTTTTATTGTTGGTGACAACAGAAAATTAAGTGAGATTGAGAGGAGTGATTTGAATGATGGGGAGGGAGGTTGTGAATGTTTGATTAATCCACCACACCTAAATGGTGTGAAAGTTATCTTATTTATAATCAAATAAATTACAAGGATATGAAAATAGTAATAAATGGAAATAACAATAAATGGAAAGAT